AAAATAAAAGTCCCGCCTCGAATGCATCGGCCAAACAGGAAAAACTTATCGGCCGATGCCGATATTCGAAAAATGCCAAATATCGGCCGATATATCGGCCTTGGCGATATATTGGTCACCCACTAGTAAGTAAGGCTTTCAAGGCTATTTTATTCACTTAAACATCGGATTAAGTGATTATTTTCTCTTTAATACAGATGATGCCAATGTATTTTCCGACGAATCCGCTATGTTAGCAATAATAACGTTACCTGCTTGACATCACAGGGTTGCCAGGTTGCAAACAAAACCCGCCCAATTGCTACTCAAAACTAGCCCAAATTAACTGCGTTTCGAGGGGGTCCCCCTGTAAAAATCGTATTCCAGGGGCTAAATATCTTGTTATTGAGGTCGCTTCGACCCGCTGACATGAAAAACAACCTGCGGCAACAGTGGTAAAGTAGCCCAGTTCCACAGGAAAACCGCGGACTTGGCAACACTGTGATGGATAGTAATGTCTACAATGGTCACGAGCGCTGTCACGGCGCGACCACAACAGCTTGACTATTTTGGCACGGTCTCCCTGCTACACTGGTAGTAGTAAGACTTTCCTCTACGTATACATGTCCTTAAAAGTACAATTTTAGCTGTATTATTTGTGTCCCCTTCAAAAATTGCTCTTAAGAAATTTTGTTTATTGTCCCCCCCCCCCAACTGTTAGACGAATTTTACGCCCCTGCTCAGCATCGAAACTCTACTTAGAGTGTCTTTTTTATCCACCCAATTCTGTATCTGTCTATTTTCAATATCTTTTGTTTATTTTTAAAGAAGGTATGCGTGTCTCCATTTGGCATGTTTCTAAATTCCTTGTCTTGGATGTTCTCAGAGGCCAGTGTCTCCTCACACCTAAACATACCAGTGAGTGAAACTTGCACAACATCTCCGCTGAAACTCCCAAAATCATTTGCAGTATGGCACAGGGGGCGTCCCGACCTCAGCTGACTAAAGCTGCTGGAATGTGAGGTGTGTTCTGGGTGGAGGCCTCAGCGTTCCTCCCAGAGCACTTCTGCTTCTTACAGGAGTTTTAGCAAATGTTCATGTATGTTACACATTAAGGAAGCTTTTGATTGGTTGATGTATATCATTGGTGAAGTCTCTCGGGTTCAATCTTCAGGTGCTTCATCAGGGTACTACTACTTTGTAGGAACTTGCATGTGTTAGGAGAAATGTAATAAACTTTTCTGCTAACCACTTGTCCACAAAGGCCCTTAAAAATTACCATACAATATTTAAATATGAAATTCAGCAGGGATAGTGGAGGTCTGGTCTGCAGTTTTGGTCTCACTGCACCTGGTCTCACTGCAATCCTGCCAGAGGCTCTGTGCTGTGTTCCTCACCTTATACAATACACAATACCCAGAGGACAGAGATGGAAAGAGAAGCGGTGCTGATCTGTGAATGCATATGTTGGTGGAAAAAGAGAGGGAGGGATGAATAACTAAAGGGTTGTGAGATTTCTGTCTTTGTGCTTATATACATGGTTGGGGAGTAACGGAATACATGTAACGGCGTTACGTAATCAGGATACAAAAATCTAGTAACTGTAATCTGTTACAGTTACATAAAAAAAAAGTATTCAGATTACAGTTACATTTTGTAAAAAGTGGGAATACTATCAGGATTACATTTGTTTAATTTAAAATGAAATAAAATGAGTATTTTGACATAACGCTATATATTTAGTGCTGTTTCATCATAGTTCCTGGTAGAGCCCTGCACGGGACTCAAATATAGGCCCTAGCCCGGCCCGTGTCCGACAGCTTATCAGAATTACTGGCCCGAGTCCGTCTTTTTTTCCCCTTCTCCCAAAACAGCTTATACTACTGTTTCAGCTATTAAAATTGTTCAGTTTTGTATGTAATGGCAAAGTTATTATATTTAGTTTTCGTTTTTTTATTAAGTTAATTTAGAAAAATGTTTGGAGCATTTTTTGTTCGTTACAAGTTTTTGTTTTTTAAAGTAACGACCAAGCGGCCAGCGGTAGACAGTGAGCTGATCATAGCCTATGTTGGATCAATTTAGCCTTCTCAAATCATCACTAACACCTAAAATAAAATCTATAGATATAAAACAGTTCAAGCATATAACAATGTTTAAACGTTAAACCTAGATAAATGTGCGCTGTATCCAATAGTTTATGCGGAGTGGAAGCTAAAGCGCGCTTTGTAGGACATGGAGGCGCCAGCGCAATCACTTGAATTTTTTCAGTGGATACGCCGTCATATTTGCTCATAAGGGTAAGAGTAATACATCATTCGGAACTGTAAAGGGTCTACTTTTATTTGTGTGCACTCACAATATCAACAAAACATTGTGCTTTTATAAAATAAAGAAAACAAACATGATGCGCTTTCTGCCGTCTCGTCTTGAACAGGAGCCCTTCACAAAAATGAACCGAAACTCAGCGAATAGATGTCTCACAGACATGATAAATATATCTATAGAAAGCTTTAAATTACTACTTAACGAAATAAAACAAATCAAAAACAAAAACTCTTTCATTATGATCATAATCATAATCCGTAAAGATGCACTTCTCTCTAAAGGCGCGTCTAATGAGGAGATGGCAAGTCAGGATCGACAACTTCATCCTTGCGACACGACTCCGAAAACACTAGTTTATTAATAAAAAAATTAAATATTTCCTTACTACTTCCCCCTGACATATTCATGTAATTACTTTTGCTGGGGCTTTGCGGCAAACTTTATGCGTGCATTTGAACGCAGATCTCTTCAGCTGCGCTGACTGCATGCATGCTGCTGCTGCAGCTGGACAAACACCGTCAAGCCGCTCTTGACAGTCGCGGTAGCACGATCTCGTGTTGTTTCCACCAGCGCGACAAATTTTTTTTCATCACTAATTGATGGATGTCTAAAATATAAAAATAAGGAGGAGCCTAAAACAGGCCAGAGACCCGGCCCGCATCTGAACTATGACATGAAAATTGGCCCGAAGCCCGGCCCTAGGGGCGTAAAAAAGTCGGCTGAAATGCAGGGCTCTAGTTCCTGGTTTTGTTGACACATGTTGACTCACGTGAGCCGCCTGCTGGTGCGTGCGCAAATAACACCCGTCTACAATTATTCTCCTCAAACGCGGGATGAATTAATTACGATGCTTCCTGCTGGGAAAAACGTTTTCATGTCTGGAAATTTCACAGTTAATTTGTTTTCAAAGAGGATAAAGGAAATAACATGGTTGTACATCGTAAGCTATGCATGAAGACTCTTGCTTTAACAAAGGCTACTCAACCAACTTGAACATTTGCAGGTACGAGTCCGACTAGCATGGAAATCATCGTTAGCTAAAATTTAGTGTTTGTTAGTGCTTTAAAATTCCATGGTGTGCATGACTGCAGTTGTAAGTTTTCTAGCGGAAAATGAGCCTGAAAATGTAGAAATTAACATGAGAGTACCCACACCCCGGATCAGTCAATGAAATAAAGAAAGATTTTCGACATGTAGGCTTATTTTAAAATAGACTAATATGTATATGGTGTATTGCTGTGGGCTGTACTGTATAGCCACAAGATGTCTGCATAGCCTTTTATATAAATATATGGGCTGTAATATCTAGATGGTGAAACGACACGATTTTTAATAGTTTCAAATCGTTTTTATTAGTTTTAATTTTAAAGTCATAGTTAAATAAAAGTACTTAGATATTCCTTTTTTGACTTATTTACATATGTATCTTGAAGTAATCCAAAAGTAATCAGATTACATTACTTTTATATTGTGGTACTTGGATTACGTTACTGAATACTTTTTTAATGAAGTAATTTGTAACTGTAACGGAATACATTTTAAAAGTAACCCTCCCAACCCTGCTTATATAACAGTTAGTTTGTGCAACCACCTGCAGCAGTTATAGAACAAGACTGTAATACCCAGCTGCTCTTAGATAAGATTACATGTGTTTTGCACTACTCTGAATGCTTTGCAATAAATTTTATTAATGGACATATTAAAAAAAGATTTCTCCAATAGTCAAATATCAGACTGAAAGGCTTATATTATTGCTGTATTCTTTTATATTGTTGTAAAAACATTGTTAAATTATTACCTATATTGAAGTTTTATCAAAAATGATGATGATGATGATTCTTCTTCTTCTTGTTATAATTAATTTATGCTACAAGTTTGCCATGAAAATAGCTGATATGACATTAAATAATAAATAAATGTTTAATACTTTGTAAGACTTTGCCTTACAGATAAAGTGTGGTCTAAAAGTCTGAGATTGTTCTTTCAATCTAGACTTTTAGGATTTTGAAAAATTACATTAATTAAAAATATTCTGTTCATGTAGCTTACTTGCTACTGTCATTAAAAGAGATACTAAATATCTGAAATACTAAGATACTCTTTTCCAATTAGTATTCCACTTGATTTATTTGTAATATAATTTATAATAAAAATATATGTCTTAGAAAAATGCACAATTTGCTCTAGTGGTCTCAGACCTTTGGTCCCCACTTTATGGACTTTTTAAAATATCTGTTTTCTTGTCTTTTTATACTTTTATGCCCATTAAAGGTGAATTGTATACAAATATTTATTGCTATTATACCAGATGTGCATGCAACAAATAAAACTATTAAATGAGCCTCTACAAATATGAATTTGTATGCCCTTCAGATGCATTTTAGTCTGTTTTTATTTGCATTTACATGTGTTAAGTACACAGCTTTAAATATGTGATGTGTACATAATTATATCTAAGTTGTATGTAATTATATCTTAATTGCGCCTATATGTGACTTGGTAGTTATTTTTGTAGTTATTATTTAAATACACAGTAATTTGAGGCAGCAAATATGAAACTGTGCTGTTTAATTATTGTTTTGGAGTTTAAAGATGACTGTTTGTTTGTTTTTAGTGAATACTACTTTAGTCTCCCAAACCTGGAGCGTGACTTCTTCCTGAGGAGGAAGATGGATTCAAAAGGCTTTTTGCCCATCTCTCTGATCGCCAGTTTCCACAGAGTCCAGGCCCTCACCACCGATATCAACCTCATTAAGGAGGTGACTATTGACCCTTCACCTCTGCTCTTTCAGAGATTATTATCTTTAGGCTGTGTTATATCTGGTTTTTGTGTGTATGAGCAGGCGGTGAAGAACAGTGAAGTTGTGGAGCTTGTTGATGAGCAGATCCGTAGGAAAGAGGAGCCCGAACATTGGCCTATCCCGGGTCCCTCTCTGGACTCCCCGCGCACAGATTTTTCCCAGCTCGTTCACTGCCCAGAGTTTGTCCCAGGACAGACGTTCACCTCCCTCAGCAAAGGTTCTGATGTGTTCCACTGTTTAGCTTTTTTATTGTATTTTTGATTGTTTTGCAGTGTTGTTATGCAATTACACTGTTCTTTTGCTTGATTCTGAAAATAGCAGCCCTCATCACACACTTATTCTCTCTACATGTGCCAAAGTGTCATCCTCCCCAGTCAGTCAGCACATAGATGAACCCGGTCTGGTAAATGGCCAAACTAGTGATGACACAGATGCAGCCAAACCTCAGTCCAAAGAATCCTTTCCTTCAGACTCAAAAAGCAGATCTAGTGAAGCTGGGAATAGGCCTAAAGTGCGGTCTAGCAGTCTCTCTGATCCAGATGCCCAGCCGTGGATACAGGTGGAAAAACGGCACAGAAACTCTTCTGGAAAAAATAAGGTACTGCCGGATCTGATCCTAGTCTTGTGATATGTGACGTGACGTGATATAGGTCACAGTGTTTTGTAGGGATGCATCGATCCGATACTCAGTATCGGTATCGGCTCTGATACTGCCGTTTTCTGTCGGATCGGGTATCGGTCAGATGAGACCGATCCAAATCCGATATAGTGCGTATACTATTCTGTGTTATTGTTAAGCCCCACGAAAGCACAAAAACATTATAAAGCACCATAACGTTTTCGTGCACTATATTTGAAGTGTTCTGAAGCCGTTTCATAGTTTAATGTGTAGTATAGATGAATATTTAAGTCAAGTTCACGTAAACTCTTCTCCCTGCTGCAGCTGTCTGTCATCCTCCATTCAGCATTCAAACTGCGTGTCGCGTTCGGTTACTACAGTCAAAACGATGAAACTCTCTTCAAGAGCGCACAATAATTGAGATTTAAAACTGCTAAAAGAAAATGCTCAATAAAATATCGCACAGATATAATAAACTACGCAGCAATATCTCTTCCCTTTTTTATGAGGAGCTACGCGCTGTGTTGCTTCAAGCGCATCATTCCGCGCACTGGATCCGCATTAAGCGTTTTGTGCCGCTCTGTATTGGAGCCATACCCTTTCGTATTATACTTTTGCACAATGAAAGATTATTAATAGTCTTTTTTGTTCTGTTCTATCTATTATATATCGCTGCCTTCATTACTGTGCTATGCATTTAAAAGAAATGTCTTTTAATTTTATAGTATATATTTTATATATATATTTATGCTACTTGTTTTTCATGAATGTATTTTACAACAATACAAAGGGCAATGTGTAATATTTGACCAGATTTAGCCATACACTTATTAACTTTTATTTGTTGCCCACTAAATAATGTTGCTTCACTAAATGTTTAGTTTAGTTTAATGTTTTTATAAAATTATTGTGCACCCATGATTTTTCTAGAATAACTTTTACTGCTGAATTATCCACTTACCTTGTTTATAATAGTATTTTTTGTCATAGATTATGATTATATACTTTTTTCATTTGTTATTTTACATTAAAATTAAGTTGTCTATATTTAGCAGATTGTGTTTAACACACACAAGAGTGATGATCAGGTCAACACATAGAAGTATAGAAATTCTACATTGATTTAAAAAAAAAAAAAAGTGATCGGATCGGAATTGGCCGATACTCAGAATTTTTGGTATCGGATCGGTTCTGAAAAAATGGCATCGTTGCAACCCTAGTGTTTTGTAGGGGTGCACTAAATTCTGATCATTATGCCAACAATTGTTTTTATGTAACAGCATTTAAAATTAATTTAGTCATTTTAAATTCTACAAGTGAATTTAGCCATCACAAGATTATAATGTACAGTATTGAAACTGGAAATACAGTTTTAGATTTGGTAAAGATTACATTTCACAGTTTTATTAAATTGCCTTTTTTTAAGTGTTAGATGACCACAGAGGTAATCTAAATGAAAAACTATGGAAAAATGAGCATGATCAATTAAATTTACTCTACCGTTCGAAACTTTGGTGTCGGTAAGATGTTTTAAAATGTTTTTGAAAGAAGTTTCAAAACTTGAAAAAAATTGGTGAGAAAACTTAAAGTCTCACCAATGCTGTAAATAAATACAGTATATACAGTAGTAATGTGAAATATTACTAACATTTAAAATAATTGTTTTCTATTTTAATATTTTAAAATATATTTTATTTCTGTGATCCTGAAGAAATCATTCTTATATGCTGATTTGGTGCTCAAGAAACATTTCTTACTAATGTTGAAAACAGTGGTCCTGCTTAATATTTATGTGCTTTTTTCAGTATTCTTTGAATAGAAAGTTCAAAAGAACAGCATTTATTTGAAAGATATCTTTTTTTAAATCTTTTTGTACATTATTATTTGATCAGTTTAATACACCCTTGCTGAATAAAAGTATAAATCTCTTTTAAAAAATATTGCGCCTTCAAATGATAGTGTACAAAATCGATAAATGAAACTATCAGCCAATAACTGATAAGCAGCGCATGAAACAAAATAATAGGGATGCACAATACACTGTTTCTAAAGTCAATTTGAAGAATATTTGTTTTTCATTTTTTGGCTAATTCTCATTTCTTCATGTTCCTTTATAACTCATAAGTCTGCTTGAGCATTTTGATCACACACATATTTCCTTTTCCTCCTCCATATTTCTTCGTCCATCATTTCTTCTCTCCGTAATTCCATCTCCTGTCCTGTGGGTGTGCAGACCTCAGTAACTCCTCTTCCTCCTAGCCCTCCTTCTTCTCCTCCTCTTCCTCCTTCTCCTCTCCTTCTTGAATTGTCCCCATCTGCAGTTGAGTATCCCCCCTGCTTTCTGTGTTTTCTGCTTGCATGATTTTTTTCATATTTATTATGAATAAATAAGATATGTTTCATGTTTGCTTCAGGAGCACAAAGAATTGTTTCAGTCTAGCTCAAAGCAGCAGCCTGAGGCAGACCAGGAGGAGCTGGACTTCCTGTTTGATGAAGAAATGGAACGCCTCGCAGCGCCTCGCAAGAACACCTTCACTGATTGGTCAGATGACGATTCTGATGATGAACTTGACGACCGAGATGTAAACAAGATCCTGATTGTTACTCAGACCCCCCCTCACCTGCGGAAACACCCTGGGGGTGATCGGACGGGGAACCATGTGTCACGTGCCAAAATTTCATCGGACATTGCCAAAGCCATTAACGATGGTTTGTTCTACTATGAACAGGATCTTTGGACAAAGGAAGAAGGGCAGCAAGAGTGTGTCAATGCCAAGGTGAGAATGGTTGTGCTTTTAAAATTATATATTACATCACAAAAATAATTCTTAATTTATCTGTTGCAAAAAAGAGTTCTGTAGAATGTTCAAGCTCCTCACTTCCATATAGTAAAAGTGAATAGTGACCACTGCTGTGCTGTCACTGGTCAGCATCCACTTTCATTGTATGGAAGAGAACAGCTTGGACATTCTGCTAAGTATCTTTTGAGTTCTATTAAAGTCATTCAGGTTTGATATGATGACAAAATATTCATTTTAGGCTGAAATTTCCCTTTACCTTATTGATAAACATCATTTACATGTTGAAAAGTTATATTTCTTATAATGGCGCTGTGCAGTTGCCATCATATGAGCAACACTGAGTTTGAATTCATCTTGTCATCCTGTTTCCCCCGTCATTCCCTTAAATATGCTGTAAAAAAGTTCTGTTTTTGAAACAAGTCTCTTATGCTCATCAAAGCTGCATTAATTTGATCAAAAATATTGTAACAGTATTAATATTGTGAAATATTACAATTTAAAACAGCTATTTTCTATTTTAATATATTTTAAAAAGTAATTTCTTCCTGTGATTGCATCACTCCAGTCTTCAGTATCACATGATCCTTCAGAAATCATTCTAATATGCAGATTTTCTGCTCAGAATAATTCTTATTATTATCAATGTTGAAAACCGTTATGTTGCTTAATATTTTTGTGGAAACTGTGATCATTTTTAAGGATTCTTTGATGGATAGAAAGCATTTATTTGAAATAAAATTATTTTGTAACAATGTAAAAGTCTTTACAGTAACTTTTGATCAATTGAATGCATCCTTGCTAATTAAAAGTATTAATTTAAAAAAAAAATCTTATTGACCCCAAACTTTTGAGCCATAGTGTAAACAAAAAAGCTTCCTTTTAAAACAAAATGAGTACGTAATAGTAAGTAACACAGAGAAGATTATGCTGAGTGTGGTGTTTCAGATAAATGTCCACGCTCAGCAGTAACATGGGAATTTTCTGCTGCAAATGTTTGAATTGCTCTGTGGTGACCAAAAATATGCTGAAATATTTGCTTAAGATCTCATATCTCACATTAGGCAGCACATTGTGTCTTCGCTGATTTATTTCTCAACCAACCTGTGCACTCTTGGATTTGGCATGTGATCACAGACCTCTTTATATTATGTATTATATTATGTTTCAGTTTTATTAGGACATTATTATTTGTTTTTAACAGAACAGTGACAAATACCTGTGTGTACCCTTCACAGACAGCCAATCAGACGAGAGCTCTGTGAAAGCATATGGTCTAGGATGTGTACGTTCTTTTAGAGGAAAGGTTCTTGTCTTGATTAGATCCTCCAGGATAAAAACTCATGTATTGATGTATGAGCCAGTTCATATTGACATCAACAGAATCTGAGCCATTTGCAAATGTCAAAAACCCTGAAAGAATGTGGATCATATCATTTGAATCGAGTGGGTCATATCAAGTTTACAGTTTACACTGATATGTGTTTGAACTGTATGGTGGTGTCGGGGGTGCCCGCTTGTTCCCGCTTGTGAGAGTCGTAGCACCTGTGTTAACTGTGCCAAAGGTCTCTGTGGGCTGAAGATCAAAAGTACAGACACCTGATAAACAGCTGCACAAAATGACAGAAATGAGCACATGTGGTTTTTTCAGATCAGTTAGAGTTTATGATGTAGCCTAACTATCTAATATGAAATGATTTCTCATTTTGACAGTAGTGGCGTGTGGCTTTTTTGCATTAAGTTCTGTGCAGTGTGTATATATTATATATATATATATATATATAAACATTTTTGCTTAATGCCTGAGTTCTACATTTGTCCTAACCAGGTGCATATTTTCTCTCCCCCCCCTCACTCTTTTAGACCCCCAGAAAGAGGAAAACCCGTCATAGCTCTAACCCTCCACTGGAGTGCCATGTAGGCTGGGTGATGGACTCACGAGAGCACAGACCCCGCACTTCCTCCATCAGGTTTGTGGCTTTTTTTATGTCATGCACTCAATACTGAGGTGCCAATCTTTCAGCGACTTGAGACACATCAGCTAATTGTTTCAGAAAGTTGGCTCTACTTAACAGTCTTTCTTTCTCTCCCATTATCCTCCTCGTCCTCTGTACAGCAGCTCGAATGCGTCTCCGTCAGAAGGAGCTCCCGCGCTGTCAGGCAGTTACAGCTGCACCCCGCAGTCCCTGCCTAAGTTCTGGCATCCATCCCATGAGCTTTTGAAAGAAAACGGCTTCACCCAGCAAGTTTACCACAAATATCGGCGACGATGCCTTAATGGTACAATGATTGTTTGGTTTTTTACACAACAGCTGTTCTATCTATATCTATATCTATATTTATATTTATATTTGTATGTATGTATGTATGTCTGTCTCTGTCTCTGTCTCTGCCTCTGTCTCTCTCTCTCTCTCTCTCTCTCTATATTGACATCAACAGAATCTGAGCCATTTGCAAATGTCAAAAACCCTGAAAGAATGTGGATCATATCATTTGAATCGAGTGGGTCATATCAAGTTTACAGTTTACACTGATATGTGTTTGAACTGTATGGTGGTGTCGGGGGTGCCCGCTTGTTCCCGCTTGTGAGAGTCGTAGCACCTGTGTTAACTGTGCCAAAGGTCTCTGTGGGCTGAAGATCAAAAGTACAGACACCTGATAAACAGCTGCACAAAATGACAGAAATGAGCACATGTGGTTTTTTCAGATCAGTTAGAGTTTATGATGTAGCCTAACTATCTAATATGAAATGATTTCTCATTTTGACAGTAGTGGCGTGTGGCTTTTTTGCATTAAGTTCTGTGCAGTGTGTATATATGTCAGTTTGACACATTATGTTCTTGGTAAACTTCTTATTGACTGTGTTATGTCTGATTGACTATTTTATGCCTCTTATAGCCCTAAAAGCTTCACTTTCAGTGGCCAAATGGGTTTGAGTCTTTGTCTTTTATGACTATAAGGATGTCATTTCTGAACCGCTGCAAGTAATAACGGCTGGTAAACCTGATCAAGTGCACTGTCTGCAGTCAAATACAGAGTGCTTATGACTTCATTGTTCATACAGGCAGAAACTGGAAGCCCATCAGGGCACTTTGTCTTCTTCTCCTCTTTATTTTTAAATATGGAGTGTGATGCTCTACTCGTAGTTTTTATGCTTTTAGCCCTCTTGTAGCTGTTTGTTTGTACTCTCTATAATGTGTCAATGTTCCACATTTTTAGGATGTGGAGAACTTCAAAAAGCTCAACATGATCAGCCAAGACGAGTTTGATACTCTGACCCCTAAACTTCCCATTGACCCCAACCAGGAGGTCCCGCCCCCTCCAACATGTCAGACAGGTGATATCTATCTATCTATCTCTCTATCTATCTCTCTATCTTTATTTTATTAGTAAACAAGCAAACAGTTGATTATAAATAAAATTATTCATTTATTTAAATGTATGTATTTTTTTGTGTCTGTTCTTTTTCTGTAGATGATTCTAGCATGGCTCATTCTCTCCCCACGGATGTCCCAGAATCCTCCAGTGTGCCTCGGACCCCACGTACACCACGCACTCCTGGAAGACAGGACCCCACCAAAACCCCACGCTTCTACCCCGTCATCAAAGATAGCGGTGACCTTGACGGAAAAGTATGTTTGTAACAGGCAAACATATTCTGGGATTATAAGTTTTTTACACAACAGCTGTTCTATCTATATCTATATCTATATTTATATTTATATTTGTATGTATGTATGTATGTCTGTCTCTGTCTCTGTCTCTGCCTCTGTCTCTCTCTCTCTCTCTCTCTCTCTATCTCTCTCTATCTCTATCTCTATCTCTCTCTATATATATATATACTGCTTTACTTGAATTTCTCATTTTTGTGTATTTTCTTTCCTCAGAGAGGAAGCGATTAGGTGTGGGTCAGTCTCAGGAGATGAACACCCTCTTCAGATTCTGGTCCTTCTTCCTCAGAGACAACTTCAACAGGAAGATGTACGAGGAGTTCAAGCAGTTTGCCCTAGAGGATGCCAAGGAGTACTACAGGTAAGAGTTTTAGTCTGCAGACTCTGTCTGAAGAAGTTATCAGCCTTTGAGAATTCAGGCAGCTAATTCCAGAATAGCCAGGCAGTAAGTCAACCAAGTTCATTTGACCCCTTCTCAAGTGCCTCCAGTTTGGCAAGAGGGTGCATAAATGACATACCGAAAATATAAATGTTTCTGCTCATGAGTCCCTCTGACTATATACATAACCAGTGGTATAAACATAGGTATTACAGATGCTTCAAAATTCTCCCGATTTTGATTTGTTTTACAGAAAAAGCTACAGAAGACTTGAAAAATGGTTAATCTCTATTCTTGAAAATAATAAAATATGAATGAAATATTGGCTATCATAGCAATATCTCATGAGAGAGTGTTACAGCTGGCATTCATGTTCGACCTACATAACACACAACATACAAACACACTCACATTAAAATGGCTGACAAGTCTGAACATTGTTCTTTCTGGTCTGTCTTGTTCCTATACAGGGATGCATAAACTCTTCTGGTTGTTTACTCACAGATTGTTTGTATTAGTTGTTAGGCAATTGTGCATATTTCAGTACTAAATCCTGAATGCTGAAGGCTTGGACTCCTATTTAACTTATCTTTTGAATCAACTCATAATGCAATATTAAAATCATGTACAATATCAAAAGGATCTTGAACTTCAAATGCTATCAGCATCACAAATCTTGCAGATTCTTAAACAATAAAAAAAAATTCTGGGATCCCAGATCATTGCAGAATAATATTTTAATATTATATTTTATAATCTTGTGCATGTTTTTTAGGCACAAAATGACTGTCTTAAGGCAAGTGCAAACTGTAGTGTAAACTATACCAGCTCTGACTTTCTGCATGTATAGCATTTGCAATGTTGATAATCATGCAAATAATTGCACTGGTAAATGATATATAAGGTTTTTGTACACTATCTGCTGTGCTACCTGGGAAGGCCAACACTAGTTTCCTAATGTGTGTTCAAATGTTTGTCACAGGTACGGACTGGAGTGTCTGTTCCGGTTCTACAGTTATGGACTAGAGCGGAGGTTCAGACAGGATATCTTCAAGGACTTCCAGGAGGAGACCATCCAGGACTATGAGAAAGGTCAAACATTCATAGTTTGGCAAAACAAAAAAAATGCAAAGGCAGAAATCTTTATTGTGCCATTTTAACTTTGCATATCACCCACCAACTCAGTGTCTGATGTTTTGTGGGTGAAAATCACTTTTTGCATTGGTGGAAACTTATTAGTAAACCTTTTTTTTTTTTTTGCTGAAAGATGTGTCACTATGTGCTTGCATCTGATGTTTGGGGGTTTGTGTATACGTGTAGGTCAACTATATGGACTGGAGAAATTCTGGGCTTTCCTGAAATACGCAAAGGTGAAGAATCAGCCCATTGACCCCAAGCTCCAGGAATACCTCAGCAAATTCAAGAGCATCGATGATTTCAGAGTAGATGTGAGTATAAGCATCAGTCTTGCATGTTAATGTGATCCCAGAATAACACATTAACCCTGTGAAAGCCTAACATACGAAATAGTAGTTAAAAAAAAAAATTCTAAAATGGAACTACACCAAATACACAAAATAATGTTCTTTTTAGCAGCATCATATGACCCCTTTAAAACTAAAATTAAATCTAAAATGAAAAGGTTTACGTGTGTGTTTTATATTTAACATAATTTTTTATACATACAAGGTTTTTATGGCTCATAATATGATATAGCAGAATATGGAGCTCATACTCGAGGAAGAAAAACGTCGCAATTTTATTTAGAGGTGCAAATTGAACAAAAATATGCAATTTGGTGCAGTTGCTTATATATATACATAGGCCTATATATATGGCCAAAAAGTATGATGAAATTCTGACAGCTTGTAATCTAAATCAATAAGATTTCATAACCGTATATAATAGATTACATGCATAAAATTGATATAACTAACAGTGGTCACTATATAATAATCCCAATAATATATCTCAGTGAGATGATATTTAAATGCTCAGTTTTATGATAATTTATGATCAGCTTTGTATTTTTATTGTGGGGACAAAACGTAATGCAGTAATGCAATACATGAGAGATGTACAAATAAATATTCCTCAAAAGCCTATGTATATGTATATATGTATGTCACGTATGTATATCATATTTGATACTTACATTTTAAGGTGATTTATTTACTTTCTTAAATGATGTATGGATATTCAAGTAAACCTAAGTTGCTTCAGTCCAGTAAGTGTTTATCTTGAAATATTACTAACAATATAAAGATAATTCTTAGGTTTACTTTATAAAAATCAGTAAAGATTTTACAGCAAAAAATGTACCATGACCTGAAGGGGGGTGTTTTTAGAATTATACTAAAAGGCCTTTTACTTACTAAAAAAATAATGTAAAAATCAATAGTATAAACTATTGATCAGAAGGCATGCAGTAAATGTGTTTTTTTTTTTCAGCAAAGTTTTGATCATGTTGATAATTTAGAGGCCTTAGAAATTTGTATATTATATAGTAGGCTTTATAGGGTTAATAGGATTAGTCAATATACATTTAATTACTTTCTAACGGTTAATATTAGTCTGTTGAACTCTAAACCAAATGTAATTTCCCTTCTCTTAGCCACCAATGGCAGAGGAAGGAGTAAGGAGGAAAGCACACTCGTCCTCCGCAGGGGACGAGGTGAAACGTAGGCGGCACAACTCAACATCATCAACGAAACAGACCCCAGTTGCCAAGACATCTTCAGACAATCAACCAGCCGCAGGAGTGATGGCAAAAACAACCACAACGGATCAGGCCGCTGCCCCAACGACAACGAAAACCACCAATCAACCATCAGCCAAGCCAGTCACAGCCAGTCAGAAACCAGCACCTGGTTCCGCCGAAAGCAGCACGGCTAATGACCCGTCTACAAAAGCTCCACCCAAAGAGAATGTGAAGAAGAATACCTCATCAGATGCTCGTAAAGGAGAGGCGGCGACGAGCAAAAGCAAAGATGCCCAACAGCCAAAGAAATGAACCTCTTGCTACACTATATACAGTATTTTAGTGTGAATATAACTCTGGAGCTGTGAACAGATTTTGAGTGCTGGTGCAGGCTTACGTTTTACACCGTAACCTCGGAAGTGAGCCAGTCAAACCGTTAGAGCAAAGACCAACTGTCAGACCGTTGCATTCACAAACTGAAGAGTAAACCAGAAATATCCTTGTGTTGTACAAGGTGCTTTTTCTGGACAGGTTAACTTCCATAAGAACTTTTGTTTTTGTTTTTCTTTTAAACTTTCTTTTTTTTTCTGCAGTTAGTAGTTTCAGAATCAATTATGCATGGTGAACTTGTTTTGCTGTCAAGTTTACAGAAGGTGCATTCCTACATTGAATGCCATTTTATCTCTTTTTAAAATGAGTTTTACCTTTGCAAATGCCTTACATTTCAAAAGCAACAAATGTATATATATATTACAGCTCTGTCAGCATAAGTAATTAATAATCTCTTGGTTTTTAAGTGTTTTTAATTTGTGCGAAATGCACAGTACACATATTTAGTTCAGTTATTTTAAAAACTCAAACAAAAGCTCATCAAACAATAAAAACTTGAACTTAGGTTGACACAAGATAACACACTATATAGCTTATTGCATTTTTTGCTCTTTTAGCTTGTGTAGGAAATATGACAGTGATGGAATACTAAGTTCTTTATGCTTTTATGATTAACTGAGTGTCTGAGCTGAATATCAGAGAAGTACGTAGATATCAGTGGTGAGGGATTGTAAAAAATGTTAACATCATCAGGAACTACGGGATGTTCCTGCCTTTAAATGAATATTGTGCCGTTCACATTGCGAAGTTGGTGATCTCAAAGACGCCACGTCTCCAGTTTAGATGTAGAGTAGAGGAAGAGAAGACATCTTTTTGACCTTTTTGATCATTTTGACTTAAATTTGAAAACATCTGTGTACTTGAAGTTTCTAAGAAATGTTAACTTTTTTAGAGGAATTATTCTTCCTTTTAAATTTTGAATCCTATTGGAGTTGAGTTTGAGAATTTATTGTTTTACTCTCTTTTGAAATCTTAATTGATTATAATCTTTTTTTTATTGATATTACTGAGAGAGTGTAGATGACTGCAAACATGGTGGCCCAGAGAATACTTTGATTTGCATTATATTTTTATTTTTCAGTTTGGATCGTGGCTAATAACATTGAATCAGTGTTTTTTCTCACTTATGATCAGTAATTAGACACTGAATTAATGTCCCGATTGTATCATATTTGCTTATGAAAACTGTACATAAAAAATTTTTAGAAGCAGCTCTCTAATTTCAATCAATTCATTTTTATTGATTAAAAAAATATTGATATTTTTGTTTGTGTGCGCTTGTTGTGTTGTATGTATGTTGGTTTAATTTTTTCTTTCCTCATAAATTGTAAAATGTAAAAAAAAAAAAACTTAAAATATATTAAAATCTGTTTATAAAACCCCAAAATAACATATATTGTATTTTTTTGTTGAGTTCAAGTCAGGCAATGTGTGCAGTGTAATGTAGTTTTACTGAGTCTTACACATTCCACACGTTGCACATTTTGAAAAAGAAAAATCCATTAACTTTCCAGTTATTTGGATTACTGGATAATGACTTAAAAATAATAATAATAAATAATTTGCACTCACAAAGAATAATATATATGCTCAATATTTTAGAGTCGAATGTAACCTGAATCGTGTGCATTTTCCATGACTAGAGGAACCCTCTTAAAGACATAATAAACACACTGAGAGCAATCCAGCTGCTCTGTTGTAAACAATACGTCTAGTATACACTATAAACAATTACTTTTGACGTTGTAAAGAATAGACACTTTTTAAACAATAACAATAAACTATACAGAAACTGCAGGGGTCAAGGGTCATTTTGTACTTTAGCAATAGTAAAGATTGTAAATTCTGAGTTGTGAAAATAAAGGGCTCATAAGGGATACTGTTATCTTTGTTGAATTATGATTATTATTATTTAACAAGTTATGTCATAGCTTGCCATATAATATTTAAAGCAGTTAAATAAATTTTGTATTTAATTCGCGTTCATTTTTTTTTTAATGTGTGTGTTTTCAATATGAAACTTTTGAGCTGCAAGCTAATTAAAAGCATATTTCCTGCATATTCTAGTATTTTATCGCGGTCAGCTACTGATAAATATAATCATAACAGTTAGCGCCTTTTCATTATCTAAAGCCTTTGTCTGGTCGCATCGGGTCGCATGCGCTCGGTGGTCTTGTAAGCGCCACGCTTGACATAAAACTACAAATCCCAGGTGCCAACGCGGTGTTCCGGTGACAGACAGCCAATCAGACGCGCCCCTGAGTGCCAGCTGGGCGGGCGCGCGCGGTGGGAAGGCGCTATCGTTGCAGTATGGGGGACGGTAGGAGTGCAGCGGCGGACACTAGCGGCGGGCAGGGGACGACGGAGGAGTTGGATCCGGGGACCGGTCTCGGTATAAGCGGCATGCTGCTCGATCTCAGCGTTCTAGTGCTCTTGCTGGCCGCGTGTTACGTGGTTTACGCGCGGTGGTGGAGGAGGGCGGGTGCGGACGCGGGCCGGGACAGCGAGGCCTCGCCGCTGCCCAAGATGAGGAGACGCGACTTCACCCTGCAGCAGCTGCGCGAGTACGACGGTGTGCAGAACCCGCGCATCCTCATGGCAGTCAATACCAAGGTCTTCGACGTGACCAGCGGCAAAAAGTTTTACGGACGCGGTAAGGAGAGCCCTCACACCCTCATTCAGCGGTGTTTTTTTAACTTCAGCAGTGGAAAAGGTACTAGTATCCAGTAAGCAAAGTCTACTAAAGCTTACGTAATATGGAATACGTACTAACAACTACTGGATAGTTACTAGTGACTAATAAAAAAGTATTAGCACCTTATTAATGTTCTCGGTAGCACTTTATTTTGCAGTTTCCCTGTTACACGTTACTATAACAGTAACAGTACATTATGCTTAATTACAAGAAACTAGCCACAAACCTATAGTAAGTATATGTGGTTTATTAATATTTCTCAGTATTTATTTGTATGACTACACTATAACAAGGACATCTTAAAATAAAGTAACTTTTTTTATACTGAAACTGTAAGTACCCTGCAACAATTGAAATGCATACTAGTCTGCATACTTTAGCCCTTTCTAACTAGTAGTAATGGAATAGTTACATGTTACAACTGGATACTAGTAATTATTCCAGCAGTGACTAGCATCTGTTGAATAAGTACTAGTGACTAATTGTATAGATACTAACCAATAATGAAGTACTAACATCTAATGAGTAGTTACTAGTGAAATAGTGAAGGATACAATCAGATTACTGGTAACACTTTATTATGTTGTCCTTGTTACACTTTACATGTAGTTGCTGTAGTAATAATAATAAATTATGCCTAATTTTAAGCAGCTAAACCTATAGTAAGAGCATGTTGCTAATTAATATTACTCGTAATAAATAGTACAAAGTAACACAAGCAGATACTAGTTAGTTTTAAGAAACAACAGCTTGCCATAGGAGAATCACTTGTGTGGTAACCAAATTATACTTGTCAATACTCTGGTCAGAGGAAAGCTAATACTGGTAAACACTGTACAAGGTAAAGTCACACAAAGCCTCTTTCTCCCACAAACCCCTGCTGTGATGGTGCATGGGGTGGTCTGATGTCTTATCAGAGTTTGCCAACCTCTTGACGGGCCCTTTGTCTTATTCATAACTGCGGTTCGCTTTCTCTCACTCTGTTTTGCCCTGGTGAACTCTTTCCCAGGCATCAACCTGTCATGTCAGTGCATTTTTGAATGAGAGCTATGTGTGACGTGGACATACGGGGTGAGAACCATGTGCTGGCACACCCGTCAGGTATGTACTGTACAGTTACAGCTGTACCATGCAATAATCGATATGCTTATTTTAAACGCGTAAAGCTAACAGCTTGATTTGCTGTGATGGATATTAGGTCAGCTAAGTTTAGCAGTGGCCTTGGTTAAGAAATCAAGCACCGAGCTTCATTCCTTCCTCCCTCCCCTGCAGAGAAATGCTTGTTTCTTTCCCCTGTGCTTTAAGAGCGGTTTACAGGCTTTCAGCTGCTGTGCAAAACAGCTGTTTGCTACACAGAATACTTGAAATATTTGCTCTCAAAGGCAGAACAGCAGTCTTTAGTCTGTCTGGAGTCTATATTTGGAGACCAGGTCAGAAGTGAAACCGAGAATGCACATAAAACTACCAGGATTGCCACAGCCTTTGATTGCATTTACCAAGTTTTGATTCACAGTCCAAACTAGAGCCTCTGATTGGGCCTCACATCTCCCTCTGCTATATTTGTATATGAGATATGTTATCTGACCATCTGTGGTGTTTATGGGGGAGCGCAGGGCGTTCAAGGTGTGTTGTCAGCAGTAGACCAGACTCTGACCAGTTCGTCATTCGTTTAGACACCTGTAGTCCCGTGTGGCATCTTGCAGCATTTCACCCAGACAGAATATGAGATCAGTTTTATTTACCTGTTGCTGCATTCATTTATAACCCCATGAGACTATAGCAGAGGTTTGTACTTTGTAGGGAGACGTGGTGTCTTATCACTTGACCATAGGGTAGCTTGCTTTTTGGTCAATGTTTGGCTGGACCTGCTTGTTTCTTCTAAGACTATTATTGCTCAACTGCTGAAAAAAAGAGGGAGTGCGTCAGTTGCACATGGAGATCAGATGATGAACCAAAAGCAAGTATCAAAAGATGGCCTTCTGATTGCCCCTACTATTGCCTTCTGTTCTGAATAAACCTAAATGACTGAAGCTCAGTCTCTCTGTCAAGAAAGAGAACAGAAGAATCTACACATGCCAGAGCAGCTTAGTCATCATCAGGCTTGATCTGGAAGGCTTTTGGCAGTCATACTATTTATGAATCATGGATTCTAGTTCCCGTTCAAGAGGTTATAGAGTAAAACTCTGAATGCAGTAAGTATCAGTGATGTGCCTGTCTTCTTGTCATCTCCATTTATCACATCTATTCATTTGTTTGTCTTGATAGGTGACTGAAGTTCATCAGTCTGTTGTGCTCATTTGTCACGTTTCAGGTTTGGGAGGAAAGGTGAGGCCTGAGCTGCAGTTGATTCTTGTTGGTGTGGTATAGTGTATTGTCACATTCATTTCCTTACTCAGTGCTGTGTGTTCACAGAATCTCTCACAGCTGTTTTGGAGTAGCTGTTTGTTTACCTGCATTTCTCTGGTTTGCCTGAGCGGCTCCATTCATCTCAGCTGTTTGGTTGTTTTTGAGACGACACTCCAGCTTGTCTGGGATTGTCTGAGCCACTGACTCCACAACTGTTTTCTTTTAGTAGGTTCACAGCAGAGTTTTGTTTTGATTGCATTTCAGCTGGGTTCTTCCAACTTTTATCAGGCAAAGGATTTTTTTGCATAAAATTATTTATTATTAAATTATTATTTAATTTATATTACAATTAATATTATTATAAATTATTATTATTAATAATACTGCTTAAAATAACTCTGTGTAGTAAATGCCGCTCCATCTGAAAGCACGTGCTGGAGATTTACTACTAATCACCAGAAGCGGCTTTACTGACGAGATTCGCATGAAAATCACATTCGATTTTTTTGCACAGCCCTAAAGTGCTGCTATTATTTTAAACACTTTGCATACTTTACCTTCATTATTTTACTTCAGACAATAATTATTAAAAGTTAATTAATTTTTTATTTTAATTGAACTTTTTTTTTTATTTTAATCTTTGGGAAATGTGGGAGGGACATTTAGCTTAATTTTAACTTCAGTTGAAGTTAAATTATGTTTTGTTTAATGCATAGTTGCTGTTGTTGTTTTAATTTCACTAATTTATTTCAGATCAGACAATAATTGATTAATCCCTGGCAATATTGGATTTTTCAGTTCTAGTTCCTACATCTATGATGTGCAGAAGTTCCTAAATTTGTATTGCTGACCTTAATGCTCACAATATGTCTTTTCTTCCAGAGGGCCCCTACGGGATCTTTGCGGGACGTGATGCTTCTCGGGGTTTGGCAACATTCTGCCTGGAGAAGGATGCATTACGAGATGAGTACGATGATCTTTCAGACCTGAATGCTGTACAGATGGAAAGTGTTCGAGAATGGGAGATGCAGTTCATGGGTAAGCAGGAGAATTCTACTTTGAGTTCAGAAAGGAAATGCATAATATGCCCAAAAAAATCTTAAGTGTCTGAAAGATTTCCCCCGGTTTCACAGACGAGGCTTAAGCCTAGTAGTCCCAGCCTTAAAAGCATGTCTGAGCTGTTTTAACTGAAAGAAACTTGCACTAACATATCTTAAAATATATCAGTGCCATTGTTTTGTCTCAAGATGCACACCAGTAATGTTTTTTTTCTAAGGAACGTTTCTAAAAGATACTTAAATGTCCTAA